ACACAGCAGCGGATAGTCATGGGTTGGCTGCTCCGAAAGACACGACTTCCACTAACAGTAGCTAGGTTCGACATAGCATCCAGAAACTGTTCAAGCAAATATTTTTGCTGTGGTCATAGCTCAGTGGTATACGATGCTGACCGGCGTTTCAAGCCGTTTTCGTTCATGGAATCGGATCCAGATGAAACCTGTGGATGCGCATTGCTGAGGAGACTCAATAGGTCGATACAGCCGCCTAAAGCTTTACCGGGTATGTAAAAGACTATCTGATTTAAAAGCTGATGAGATGAACCCTCAAATAATTACATCAGAAAGCAGTTACTAGTGAGGACAGCAAAAATTGACTGAGCGACTCAGTTCATTTTTTCCTTGTACTTTGTGTACATTCTAATAAGTTTACCTAACCATGGTTAAACACTGTTAGTAAGCTGTTTGATGACTTCATTTCTCCCTGTAGAACCATTTTGGGATATGCTCCCGAGTCTTCTGGGATAAACGCCTCGAAGTGCGACCGATTTATCGTGCTCCTGCGTCCCAACTCCATGCATGCAACCACCGTTATCTTATTGACGTGAGCCGTGGTAGCTGAATCTACCACAGCTTGGTGCCTGGAGCGCTGTTGTTTAAATAAACTGAACGATATTGAAGAGAGTAGCTGCATCGCTTTCGAGTGCCTTCACAAGTCCTAACAGCTGAGGCGATAGATGTTAGCAATTCACTGGAGTTCCGTTTATTTTCTTTGCGCTCAGGTTGTGCAGATTGTACACAAGTTTAATATGTTTCGGAATACTTCTCTCTACTACAGCCGGTAACTAGAGACAATTTAGGAGTGGCGTTCCCGGTAGACAAAAATGGCGATTATAACCTGAAATCATTGTATACAGAGAATGGAGTCGGCAAAAATAAACAGTCGGCGGTACCCATGTCACATAAACACTGCCGTTTCGATACTCAGCATTGACAAACGATAGTGCATTAGGGACACCGTGGGAAATCGTCCACCTCGTCGACCATCATGGTTGTAGTAAGTGAAGAAAGCAGGCTGAGAGAGAGGACACATTAGTCACCCTCATAGTTCTTCACCATTCGGTGACATGCGCGCATATACTTCATCTCCGTGTACGACACCGAGAGCAATCCCTTGAGACCCAGGTAAGCCAGTGCACCCTGTGAATAGAAAAAGAAAATCGAAGTAGGCTAATGGTGAATACCACAAGCACAACTTTTTATTTCACAAGGCAAGCTAGCTGGATTGAAGGGTTGTTTTGTAGAGGGACGGTGGATGCTATTTGTGCTCAGATGTTACAGTGACGTCAACAAGATCAAGCACCACATAAACAAAACTAACAAAGGACAGTGGCATTAAGCCTATTGTAGTAACATGTGACGTACCAATCGCGGAAAACCATTGATCACCGAACGATTTGAAGTTAACTTATTCTGATTCCGTGTTATTTGCATGCACGTGGCCGATGAGAATGCACGAAATGACAGTGTCGCCATAGAACGTCCGTCGTCTTTGGATATTCACATTTGCGACTATGATGTTTCGAGCAGCAAGAGCGGTTGCTGAGTTCAGACAAGACCAGAGTTGAGCAATAGTCACGACTGTAGGTAGTTTAATGTACTAATTATGCAACCAAAAGTTGGCTAAATCAACGATTATGATTCTCGTCAGAATCCATTGGTTCAAAACTCGATAGCAAGGTAGACGCCACGAGACGAACACTTCGCATAAATGAATACCACCAAATCCCAAATTTAAGGAACCAGAGAGCTGAATTTCTCTGACTTAGAACGATGGTTGACCAACCTCGGAGGGGTAGCTCGTAAGGTGCCCCCAAGAGAAGTACAGTATGGCTCAGAGTATAAGAGAGGTGTTAACATCACAAACATTATCAACAGCAGTACATCAGACATTTGCATTGATGCCTCGCTGCCATACAACCACAACGACTTACGGAAGGAAGAACAATAGAGGGAAAGAAGTAGGACCTACGAGTATACCTTAATGCTCTTAACAAGCATTCATGGTCAAAGCACGCATACCTTGTGTCAACAACATACAGGCACAAACAGTTGGCTGTCGTGCAAATATTATAAGGCGGTGCCGTATCATAATAAACCAGTAACTCACAGATAACCTAGCACCAAACACACTTCAAACAGGCAGCCTGACTAGGAGACGGGAACAGACGCGCCACCGGTGTCGAATGCGAGCCATATCCTGCAACATCACGAGCCAAGTACAAGGCCAGTCACGTGGACTCCAAGTTTGGTCGTCAGTACCTTCATTTCTTGCTGTCAAGTCAACTTTTGTCTACATCGAGCCCTGCGTCAACCTACAGCTGGCAGACAAAACAACGCCCTTCTCGGAGAGCGGTGAGTAAGTATAACTAGTACGTACCCAAGGTAACGCAACTTATTCAGTGCTATCAGACGTTCTAAGGAACTAGCATGATTATTACTGCCTAACACTCGTATACATAAATCATCGTTGTGAACACACTACCGTCACCCGAAACTAGCAAATTTACGTAAGCAGCGAATATGAATACTGAGAATAGAAAGAGTAAAGATAAAAATCTGTGTTACTCCATCGTAGGTGGATCGGGCACATGCGCAGAAACACGTCGCTGATTCCTGCGCGGTGGCAGCATATTGCAGCTGCACTACATCTTATCCGAGTGCGATACGCTCCCTATACCTGTAGTCCGCAGAGTATGCGTCAAGGAATCTCTTAAATTCCGCCACCGATTTCGCCTCGACTAGCGTCTCCGGCAATTTGTTCTAATAATTCACCACTCGATGATCGAAGCATAGAGGGTGAGCAACGCGCTTTAAATCCGGTACCACTAGTTTGTACCGGTGTCCGCGCGTACTGTTTGGCGCGCAAACGTGCAGCAGCGGCCTAAACATAGAGAAATGGAGCAGGTGAAGTATCCGGTGCGTCAGAATGAGATCAAATCGAAACCGACGATATGATAGGTTATAAAGCCCTAGTCTCCTACATCGGTCTTCATACGACATACCCCGTAAACTGAGGATGAGCCGGTTAGCTACATGCTGGACACGTTCCAGTCTCTGCACCTCACCTATTGTGATCGGACAATAGGCGGGTGAGCCGTACTCAAGCACTGGTCTTACCATGGAAGAGAACAGACGGGTGGCAATCTCTTCAGACCAAGTGCAGAAGCTACGTCTAAGTGCCCAAAGCAGGCGTAGTCCGTTTGCGTACGGTCTGTTCGTGTTGTCGACAGACTTCAGACACAGCGTGAGAGTACGCCTAGATCTTTTGCGGAACTGGTGGGATGCAACTGGTAGACGACCAGGGTGTACCCACGCCCATTACCCCACCTCCCCAGGCTCATAAAGAAGAATTCGGCCGGGTTGACCGATAGGTCAAATTCTGCAGACCACCGGGATAGGCGGTCGATGTCATGCTGAAAGAAGTCACAGCCGCCTGGAGAATCAATATCCTCCAAATATTCAGGTCGTCCGCAAATAATGCGCAGAGCAACCGAAGAAACTGAGATACTTCGTTGATGTGTATTAGGAACAAAATGGGTCCCAGTACTGTGTCTTGGGGTACACCACCTAGTGGAGGGGTACCAGTCCGTTAGACGGTCATCTACTAGTACCCGCCATCTTCTCCCAATAAGGAAGTCACTGGTGTAGTGCGGCACCAACAACACACATCCTCAATTTGCTGAGCAGGACCTCTTGGTTCACTTTACCGAAATCTTCACTGAAAGCAACGTAGATAACATCCACTGACTTCCCCCGCGATTCAACGCTTGCAACCATTCCCACCGCGTCAACAGCAGTTGTGTGTGATTCACGAGCGGCACTTCATTAAGCCGTGCTGTGAATGATTTAGCAAAAGGCATACAACAATTAGCTCACCAGCAAAATGCGTCGAGTGTTCGTCCGAACCTTGGGGAACAACAACTGCCCAGTCATTGCAGCCACTGTGGGTAAAGTGAGCGAAGCGCATAGAAATCGTGGAAATTCGTGACCCTCAGAGGAACTATCCACAATGGCTTCGCGTGCAGGCCAATTCGACGTATCTGGAAAGCGCAAACAGAACCCGAATTAAGACGAGGCGCCGCGAAAGACAAAAGGGCAACTGAGTGAAAGCTGGATGCGCTACAAAGCTGCATTTATATACTTGCCATACTCAAATAGTAACAGTAGAAAATAAACGACAGGGATTATTTAATTTAGACCTGTCATGTCATGAAACATGAGATCCAGGTAGAAAACATGCGAATCAGCTCACATTGAATCGTGAAATTCAATTGGGGCAATGCCATGAGTGTCTCCAATAGTTCGTATAAACATTGAATAACATCGCTCGTCGTACACACTTCTAAAGTGAGGAAAATGGGGAAAGTGTTTCATGGAAAATAGCGAATAAAACAGCAATGAGAACCTGAAACGGTGCCAGATAAACAGTGTTTGTGGGGGCTGATTCCACAAGTAAACTTATCACACAGTTAAGTAGGCATAATGTGAAAATTAAGCGGACAGTGAAGCCAACAGTAAACAGTAGGCGAACTGCATCTGCTAGTCACACGCCATATGTCGAGCCAAAGGTAAGTTGGGTCGAGCAAACTTCGACTCGCAAAATGAGCCGGGTTGACAGAAATTTTAACCTCGATTGTTATCTGTGACAAACTGTTCCAACGTTTTACTAGCCGATGCTTAAAATTCAGTCTATAAGTTTCTACCGGTGCCCAAGTGTGCGACCTGGTGCATGCATGTAGAAACCCCTCAAATGATGGGAGGATTTACGCCGTCACAACAACGTGTACGTGCAGACTATTACTTGGGAATGGTAGCTACCGCGAACTCTAGAAGATGTTGAAACAACAAAGCGGGGTTGACTGACGTACATCAAGCTATGACGTAGATGTGGAAAAACTAAACCATGAGTTCTGCAAGTGCTACAACAACTCGATAGTTGACATCCGTTGGTGGCCCAATATCAATCCCTGAGGAGACGACCCTACTGAATTACGCAGACTACACTGTTTTGGGTAATAATCAATCGACCGCTGCTTCTTCAGTCAGATTACAATATATTCTTAACGATTTCGTGTTTTGGTCTAAAGCCATCAAGCTGCCCTTTCACAGGTCAAAATACAAGCATGTCGTCTTTTCATTGCACAGGGGAGATCGATATCAACGGCTACTCAAGCAGTGCGCGAAACTCCACATCGGTGACGAGGGGCTTCACTCCTCTACATCAGTGATATACCTGGGTGTCACGCGTAACTATGTTTGGTCTTGGGATGCAGCGTTTGGCCAACCAGAGTGCACATAGACCAATCATCAAAATTCCTCAGGCTCATCAATAACTACTTGACTCAGTTGACGGGCAAATCGACCTCTGAAGACCACATGGACATGTAGTCGAGGTCATATGGTTGGCGGCATCCGGTTTCGGATTTGCATGTCACTGTGACCAGCCACAGGACGCCTGCGCCTACAGAGGGACCATGGGTGGCTTGCACTGCACCATCCACAGCTCCAACCACACACCCCATATCCAGTGTAAACCCGAAGGAATAAGACCGGGAGACATGCGGATGGGAACCACGTTTCATCAACGGAGCCGGCCCACACTCCTTCACAGCAAATACAAGCACACAAGGCGGTGGCTGGACCGTAGTCCGCTCCACACTGAGTGCATGGAGCCACTCTTCGAGCCTAACACGGCCAAAAGGACCGTGCACCCCGTCCCCTCCAGCAACGACCAACTGTCTCGTGGAGCCAGTATGGACGAGGTAGCGGGTAATAGACAGGTAGGCACCTTGTCAACAAGCACAGCCACACCGGAGATATCAAACAACAGCCATTCACTTGAGAGAGAGAGAGAGAGACAAAGAAAATAACTCGATTAATGCATAAGGAAACGGTGACATAAACCTTAAGTTAATGAGCATATGAAATAAGTTGTTTACAAACGTATCCTAGATAAGTTCACGAGGTCAGAAAGTATATTTTACGGAATGCCACGAACACAAAAATGTTATGGAAATCGAATACAATTGGCTTAAGCGAGGTGTGCAAGTTAATGGAATAGAGTACAGGTTGACATTTATATGAGGAAGAAAAGCACTTAGGTAAAATTGAAAACCCACCATCTGAAATATATATATATATATATATATATATATATATATATAAAGTGGCGCATATAACACACCGAATCTATGCTTACCGGTTAACCATCGGAATGGGATCAGACGGCTGAGATAGTGACGCCACAGAACGACCAGGAAGTTTTCCCATGGGACAGTTCGAAGCAGGAGCAAACATGCTGGGATCGTCGGTAAGCCGAGTAGCAGGAGCAGTGGGTCTGTGCGTCGCATCATCTGTAGGCCCTGTTGATGACCGAGGACTTGCATAACCGTCACCGCACCGTAAGTCACCGCAGACCAGTAGAAGGAACCAAGCAGGAGACCACCAGCGAAGCAGTATGCCAACGCCTTTGTTTTAACATCAAGCGATTCCAACAGTTGAAACAATAAACCTGCAAGTGAAACGTGCAAAAGCAATGAAAAGAAGACGAGGAGAAAGAGGAGGGTAGGATAAAACTTTTGTCTATTTGGGTGGATGTTTGAAGTTTGTGCTTGATGAGGAAACACACGGCAAGAATGTGATATAATGAGAGTGAAATAAAGGGCATAAGGTGATCTACATTGAAATTGAGACACAACGGCAGTGCGATGATTCGAGCGATTGGACTGTAACCTACACATCGTCAGTCGGTGGCCGAGTTGACTGCACGCCCGGTTTGCAATCATATAGTCATCGTTTCGAATCCGCGTAGGGGTGGGTGTCCTCACGGTATGCTCAGACCACGCGCGACTGGTGGTGGTCGCACGGTAGCGAAGCCCCGTTACGGGGTATAGCTGACGATTAATTTTTTTAAACTTACACTGGATTTGGGTGCGCCTGTAGTGTCTCAGTCTGCGGGTGTCTTCTGTTTAAAAAGTGTTTGGTGCTGAGTTGTGTTGGGGGTAATGGCTGATTATGACGCGGAACAGTGAAATTCGTAAGGAAATTGTCTCGCCGACGTCGCCTTATCTTTACACGATAGCCAGCCGTTTGTGACGGTATGTTGCTGACACAAGGTGTAGGCACCTTGACCCCGAATGTTTGCCTATCGCTTTAAGGTTTTATGATAGGTCCCTCCAGTTATTACTCTTCGTTCCTGAGGTCATAGTGGTTTTACGGCAGTGAATCATGTTTCCATGGCTGATGCACTGCTGTTGATGATGACCG